GCCGTAAAGCGCCCGTAAGGGTTACGGGGTCCTCAGTGGGCAGCCACTGCTGGGGCTCGTAAGGCTTGCGGGAGCCAGGTGTGAGGTCCATAAGTAAAAAAGAAAGTAAATTAGTGTCATTGAGAAACTGTAATTATCTAATAATAATATCTGTAATAATGATATCCGCTCTTGAAAATCTGTAATTATAGAAAAAAAAAATCGCTTTACATTTATGCTCTATTTGACCGGATAACTCTCGGATAACTTTTCAACGATGCACCGATGTCTAAATAGCACACATGCTCATTTTAGAATATGTACTTGTTGGCCCACTGACCAGGTTCTTCACAATTAATCCAGAAAATAAGTTAAAAAAAACTGTAAGAGTTAACTACTTTATGCAAAAAAGGTTATTATAAATTAGATGATTATTTAAATGATAAGATTGTCTGGTGTTGTATTGGTCCAGCTCAACACAAAAAGTAGTATTAAGAATAATTACAATTATAAAACAGGACATTAAAAAAAATTGAGACGGTAGGGCCCTGTGCCTCTGGTTTTTTTTCGGTTCTCATTGGCTATACAGGTACGAATACGGCAGCAGTTTTAGATACAATTCACTATGACGTGCAAAAGAGATTTGTAAAAAAATCCAATATAGTCAATTTCTTGCTCTTTTGGGGTGGGAAGAACCTTGATCCTCGTCTTCGTTTACATTTTCTTTTTCTGTGTCATCTTCTCCATCGGAACCCTGTAGGGAAACGGTCAGAGGATCCTCCTGTTCTTCTTCACCTTCGGAGTCAACTTGAGGGACCCCATTCAAGCAGTTCCCCTGGCAATTTTGGTACGCTGGGGAACATTTGAGGCTTGCTTTTTTGCAGCCTCACTTCGCGCTTGCACAGTCTTTCGTGCATCGACAGAAAATCGAAAAATCATATAATAGGTATTGATGGTCGTGAACATGGCCCCCGGCGGTGTAGACACCTACTTATTTAGGTAACGGCCAACACTGCCAGTTTTCTTACCGGGCGACGCAGGCACCCCCTTTAGTCAATACGTCTACTACCCCCTTTTTTTTATACGCAGGCAAAAAAATACTATTTACAGACGACGGCGCCTTTAAGAGGCACACCGCCGAACGGACCTCACACCTGGCTCCCGCAAGCCTTACGAGCCCCAGCAGTGGCTGCCCACTGAGGACCCCGTAACCCTTACGGGAGCTTTACGGCATAATATCCGCTAAAAAACCCCGCGAACACCCTCTAAGCTGCTTAGTGCGAAGCCGCAAAATCCCCGTTTAGGGATTCTTCCGCGTCTCCGCACCTAGCAGCCTCCCGGCCTTGCCGAGGTTCCGCGGCAGGGGTCTCCCGGGGTATCGCGAGGACCCCACAGACGTGCGCAGGACGGCCCGCGCGTGGGGGCTGAGTACGCGGCCTAGTGCCCACCGTACCGCCCCCATACGTCTACTACCCTAACAATTTTGTCCTTAAATAAAAAAAAAGGCAATTGTTTCTATTATTGAAGATAATTTAATGCTCTACAACCCTACGGCCGGCATTTATTTTTTGGGTGCATTGTTGAAGAGTTATCCGGTCAAATAGAGCAAAAATGGGAACAATTTTTTTTTCCATAATTACAGACTTTCAAGAGCGGATATCTCGAAAACTATACGAGATATCAAAAAATTTGACTGAATAAGACTTGTAGCAAATTTAATCAGCTTTCACTTTTGTGAAAGTCTCATGTCGCTAGGATGCATAGTTTTCGAGATATATGCGAAAAACCTAAAAATGGGACCTTCAAGCCCCCCCCTCCCCCTGGCTTAAGGGCTACGGGCGGGGACTTTTGATATGTTTACCTCCTAACTAGTCCTAACAAAGTCACGAAGTCAAAAATTGTGTTCTAAGCATTTCCCTCTATACCTTTTCGTTGCCTGGACTATGGTACGTACACTTGTTATACTCATTTTAAAAAATAAAACTGGTGACGTGTCGAGCATGGCCAACTATAGACCAATATCGCTCGCTACCATATTGGCCAAGATACTTGAACGAGTGATCCAGAAATGCATTTCACCTTCGTTGTCTATAGATGATGCGCAATTTGGTTTTAGGCCCCAAGTTTCAACCGATATGGCAATTTTTTCATTGAAACAGGTCGTAGACTATTACAAAGTTGGTGGGACCAGTGTTTATGCTTGTTTCTTGGATTTAAGTCGAGCGTTTGATACATTAAATCACAAGTTACTTTGGGACAAACTACAGCAGACTGGTGCCCCAATTGAGGTGATCAATTTGCTCTCCTATTGGTATCAGAACCAAACAAATAACATCAGGTGGGGCCAAGAATTATCGGACAGCTATGGGCTATCGTGCGGGGTAAGGCAGGGGGGATTAACTTCTCCTGACTTGTTCAATATTTGCATTAATGATTTGATCGTGGAGCTGAGCAATACCCCGGTTGGGCTCAGAGGTGACAGGTACGTCAATAATCTGAGTTAGTTAGTCGATTAAGGGTTTGAGACGTCTTATTAAAATTTGTGAAAAGTATGCTGAAGACCATAACTTAATCTATAATGTGGGGAAAACAGAGATGGTGATTTTCAGATCTGGGAAGGGACCTGAAAACATACCCTGTATGCTCCTTAATGGGCAACCTATAAAAACTTCAATGAAGTTCAAGTATCTTGGTCATATCGTAACATCGAACCGCAAAGATGATGAGGATATAGAACGACAAAGAAGAGCATTGTGTGTGGTTGGCAATATGATAATACGCAGGTTTAATAAAGCTTCCCGTGACGTCAAGGAAACTCTTTTTAGATCCTTCTGTCAGACTTTCTACACTTGTCAACTGTGGACCAACTATACAAAAAAGGCGTATGATGGAATACGGGTGGCCTACAATAATATATTTAGGCAACTTATGGGGTTGGAGCGTTGTTGTAGCGCTTCAAAAATGTACTTTGAGGCTAGAATAAATTCATTTAATGCCATTCAAAGAAACCGCATCGCCAAATTTATGTCCAGGGTTGAGGAGTGTAGGAACTCTATTATATCAGGTCTGGCGGAGAGAATATTCAATACGAATATGTATAAACGATGGGTGCAATTAGCATCCTGAATCATGATACTTTCTAATGTAATTTGTTTTTGTATTTGTGAATGTGGTAATTTGACTCCTGTGTATATATAATATTAATATAATTATAAATTGAAATTGATGAATTAATTTGTAAATTGTAGGAATGGATCTTGTGTCTCAAATAAAAGTATATTATTATTATAGTTAGAAATGGATGTCGCTATATATAGCACATAGCGACATCCCTTTCTAACTGTACTAAGTAAAGATCAACACAATTGTCATTCTGTAATACGGGCATAAAACATTTTTCTCAAACATGCTCGGAAATTTGAGCATTATTTAGACAACCTTCTTCGAGATTAATCGAAATTGCTGTACTGACCAGATACATGCGAGCAGCGGCCGTAAAGTAAAAGGCCGAAAGTTGTATTAAATTCCATATCTGTCGTGTTTAGTGGCCAAATAAATTACATGGTAAACTCATAACTGTCGTGTGAGCGTGTAGAGAGATAAACCAGAGCGGTTAAAGGGATAGCGAGCTGGTGGAGGGATAGAAATGAGCGAGTAAAGGGATAGCGAGCGGTTGGAGGGATAAACCAGAGCTGGTAAAGGGATGGTGAGCTGGTGGAGCGATGGACGTGAGCGGGTAAAGGGATAGTGAGCGGGTGGAGAGATAAACCAGAGCGGATAAAGAGACATTGAGCTGGTGGAGGGATAGACCTGAGCGGGTAAAGGGATAGTGAACTGGTGGAGGGTCAGACCAGAGAGGGTAAAGGGATAGTGAGCTGGTGTAGGGATAGACGTAAGCGGGTGGAGGGATAGACCAGAGCGGGTTAGGGGATAGTGAGCTGGTGGAGGGATAGACGTGAGCGGATAAAGGGAAAGTGAGCGGGTGGAGAGATAGACCAGAGCGAATTAAGGGATAGTGAGCTGGTGGGGGGATGGACGCGAGTGGGTGGAGGGATAGATCAGAGCGGGTAAAGGGATAGTGAGCTGGTGTAGGGATAGACGTAAGCGGGTAGAGGGATAGACCAGAGCGGGTGGAGGAATAGTGAGCTCGTCGAGGGATAGACGTGAGCGGGTGGAGGGATAGACCACAGCGGGTAAAGGGATAGTGAGCTGGTGGGGGGATAGGCATGAGCGGGTGGAAGGATAGACCAGAGCGGGTAAAGGGATAGTGAGCTGGTGGGGTGATAGACATGAGCGAGTGAAGGGATAGTGAGCTGGTGGAGAGATAGACCAGAGCGAATTAAGTAGAGGGAGGGTGAGCTGGTGGAGGGATAGACGTGAGCGGGGTCAAGGATAGACGTGAGCGGGGAAGGGATAGACGATAGCCGGGGAGAGATAAACCAGAGCTGGTTAAGGGATAGTGAGCTGGTGGAGGGATAGACATGAGCGAGTAAAGGGATAGTGAGCGGGTGGAGAGATAGACCAGAGCGAATTAAGTAGAGGGAGGGTGAGCTGGTGGAGGGATAGACGTGAGCGGATAAAGGGATAGTGAGCGGGTGGAGAGATAGACCAGAGCGAATTAAGGGATAGTGAGCTGGTGGGGGGATGGACGCGAGTGGGTGGAGAGATAGACCAGAGCGAATTAAGGGATAGTGAGCTGGTGGGGGGATGGACGCGAGTGGGTGGAGGGATAGACCAGAGCGGGTAAAGGGATAGTGAGCTGGTGTAGGGATAGACGTAAGCGGGTAGAGGGTTAGACCAGAGCGGGTGGAGGAATAGTGAGCTGGTCGAGGGATAGACGTGAGCGGGTGGAAAACGTGATACACATGAGCAGCATAAAGTTTTATGTTTTTCGTCTGAAGCAAATTCATCTCTATTTTTCCACTGTTAAGGTATTCCCAAGACGAAAACCATGAAACGACATGACACTTCGACTTTGCGCCTTTGTGTGAGTTGAGCTTTAGACAACTGTTGCTTCATACCATTGTGTCCAGTCCCTCTTTGACATCGAGTTTGCGCTTGTTGTTGGATTCTTCTTGAAACTCCCATACATCATAGCCCGTGTCAGCAGTGAGGAAGCTTTCGTTTATGGTATCGGTGGCGTTTTCATAAGCACTGCAATAGTTATTTATGGTATTAGTGCAGTAAGTTGATTAAAACTAAGGCACGGATAAAAATGTATTAAAAATTTGAAATGTGTACATATAATATGGACTAAAAATGTATAATAAGAATATCTTTCATATAAAACATTGTTTATTGTGAAAAATTACTATGCAGTTACAGTTACACTAAAAAAATTTTAAAATTAGCGAAATATTCAGGTTATTCAAACAAATAAATTAAGATTTATTCATCTTCCTCTAAATCTGTCTTATTAAATTGATAGCAGTACACAATCAAATGCTTTTTTAAATTATCGAAATTCGAACCCGCGCCCCGGCCTATCGGCGACGCCGCGCCCCGCGCGCTTGCTAGCCGCTAGTACCACGGTGCTGGGGCGCGGGTGTAGACAATGTGGAGTAAATGAATTAAGAGATTTAATACGCGAGAGATATGAAACACGCAGGGCCGCCTGGTGGCGCGAATGCAAACACGTTTTTTGTGAACTAACTCATGATTTATGACATAGTTTTTTTTTATGTCATTTTTGTAATTTTTTTTTTTTTTTCTGCAATCTGTTCCGTGCGAATATTCAGCATCTGGTTAAAAGTAGAAATTTATTTATCTTGAAGGGTGACTGTCCAGTGACATGAACCCACACACACAAAATATGTTCCCTATAAATCTCTAGGGGACCTTCTTTTTAGCCTTTTGAAAGTTGAATCACCATTCATTAAGTGAGTAGCTAGTATGTTTGGATGATTGTCTAGTCTATCCCTGTATGATTTCATTGCATGTTTGATCTCTTCCTGAATTGTTCTGATTTGAAGGTCATGGTGTAATTGTTGATTCGTTATATACCATGGAGCAAAATATGCACTTGACCATGAAATATGGAAAATAAAAATTAGTTTTTCAGTCTATATATATATATTATTATGATAATCCTGGTAGAGAACAGATACGAGACAGACAATCATGTAATTTAAAAATATGTATTAACATATTAATCTGGGTCACAATTACAAACAATATCATATATATACTAGTTTGTAAATACATATGTATGAATGTCATACAAGATTTTACAACACATTTGCGAGTAAACAGTACCTATACCTAATTTAAGTAATGAAGCAAACTTTTTTTACTAAGAAAATGGTGCGCATTTGGAAACGCATGGTTGGTGAAAATTAGAACGACATCTTTCGTCTCTTTTTCTTTTTAGTATTAATTAAATTGCTACTTAGGTATAGATTGAAAGGGGTTCCAAGAAAGTTCGAGCGAAATAAAACAAACCGTAAAGGATACGCACGGCGCCATGTATGGGAGCGTGCAGTAAAAGGATTTACCGCACGCTCCGTTGTATGGACCGTAATTTGGAAACGTTCGAACAATGTATACAACCTCCATAAATGCACTTTTTGAGCAAATGTGTTGAAAATTAAGAAAGCTATGGTCTAGCTAGCTATAGGACTATTGATAATATAATATCTTTAAAGCAGTGTTGATATTATTGATGGAGTTATTGACATTTGGACTTTCATTCAAGAGCAACTATTAAAAGTCATCAATAGTCAACTTATCAATAGTCCTGCAACTTTATTTTTATAAATGAATACTTGAATGTCATAAATTCAATGATTTGGTTTCCAACATAGGTAAAAGTTACCTTAGTTATCTTCATTTGTGTTGACCTACCCCTTTACCACATAACAACATTGATATGAAATTGATGTAAATTTTATCATTTCAAACACATTATTAAAGATTATCATACCTGCCTGATAACTAGCTAAAGATCTTATATAATTAATTATGAAGTTATGTGGCCATTTTATCAATGAAAATTTGGTTTCTCTAAAATTTACAATATGATCACATATAATACAGTTATGTGGACCCCTGAACTGTATGAATAAAACACTAGCGAATAGTTATTCTATTTTACTCTTTCTTAATTCTTCAATTCATAAAGAAAATCTGTAGTGCTATACTTCACACCAAATTAAAAGTTAGTAGCAGAGGCTCCAATTCAAGGTCTCTGCCCACTATACCGTACCAAACCATCACTGTGCTCTGTACCATTTCTTGTAGGATGTGCATGGCTGGTGACAGAACGGTGTAGCAGTTGTTGGTCATAAAAACTGTATGAAAGAATATTTTATTGCATGTGTCAGTATGGCTACAGTCGTGGTATGGTACAATGTAGTGGGTAAAGTTTGCTTATTCAACTTCAGTAAAGGGGCGCTTTACTGATCTTTATAAGCAATGTTTGAGATTACAATATTCCAATAGAATACCTGTCTGGTGGCCTTTCGTCTGGGAACAATGATTTGAAAAGTTGAACGAGGAGTGGATTAGATCTCAAGTGTGGGAGTACACGAGTCTTCATCTGTTCACTACTGTCGCTATTCAGGCCTGTGGTTAAAGCTCTGAGAATTTTCCTTAAAACTGTTGGCTTTCGGTAAAAAGTCCTCTGGAAGGGGAATGAAGTAACTATAGTACTTAAAAGTTTAACAATGTTAGGTATCCTTTTGAAAGAAAATAAAAATGTTGATGACATACTTTACAACTGAAATGAACAAGAATATAATGTGTGGCAAAACGGATTTGGTGGTTGTTGCATTAATAAAAAATATCATAAGAATACATATAACAAAGTTTACATACAATGTGTTGCTGACAAGGCACATAAAAGAAATTCACTTCGCAGAAAATATTAAGAACAGCAATTAAAAAAACACTTACATGTAAAAGTTCTATGAATCCATTGAGCCTGTCCATCATAAAGTGGTCCATAAAACAGCCCACTTCTGCTGCCTGTCCAGGTTTTAAAAACAATAAAAAGTCTTCCAAAATATCTTTATGCTCTTCACCACACAATTTCTCAATTTTCTTATATAATTCCACTGGAGTTTCCTTTGATGGATCAAATGTTTTCAAGATATTTTGAAATTGAATAAATTTGTTGTTAGGCACCGATGGATTGGAAGAAAACCGTGATTGTACTTTAGTATAGTATGATTTAACTAAGGCTGAAAGAAAAGAATTTGATTCTTACAATCCTCTACAGAAAATCCTTAGAAAGTTACTTTTAAATTAAATATTTACATACATTTTATTATACATTTGGAATTTGCATATGCAAATTCCACTAAGAAATAAGTACTGCACATAATTAGTGTGCAAGTACAAACTTTTATTTTCATTTGGTTATTGTTTTAAATTGTCTTACCTGTCTCCAAAGCATTATTATCAAATTTGGGTGGTTCCTCCTTCTTCTTAGTCCCTTTGGATTTTGGTTCTTTTTGCACTACTTTTACTGGTTCTTTCGTAACTGTACAAGGCAAAGGAGGAGGCTGAAATAATTCAATGTCAAAAATTTATCATAATTCTCGTTAAAAATGGCGACGATTATAATGCGTTATTGGGTGAAAAATCATACAATAACGACCCCAATTATTGTTTTTTTCATAACATACTGATGTAATCTCATAAATCATCATTGGAATTGTTGTTTTTTCTAAGATTGAACTAGACTAATCATCAGATTTCTAGGGAAAATGCTGCATAACTATTTGTCTTACCTCTGGTTTTATAGCTGGTTTGGCGACCCAATTTGCATTGAAAAAGCTTGTGCTTGGTTCAATTTTATTGCCGAATGCATCTTCACTGTCCCGAGAAAACAAAACTGGCATAGAAGGCAGCATTTGGCTAAGTTTCTGGATCAACTATGTAAATGAACAAGCGATACCACTTCACGACAGAGGCGATTTCCACATAATTCAGTACAAATAAAAAGCACTTTTATAAATTAACATTATATCATCAAAAACTAGTTAAGATCAGACATGATTTTATGTAAAGAAACATTTTTGTTTATATATATTTACGCAAACAATACAAGCCATCGAAAGAATGGAAACATTTTTGACAGACGGAAGGAAGAACGGCAGAGAGAACGGCGGATGCAGGGCAACGCAATTTGAGTGGTTGGCGCGGGCCTGCACCGTTTCATTTCTAGATTTCATTTAATTTTTTTAACTATATAATAGAAACTTTGTTGTTTTGACTTTTATATTTTTTCAGCTGTATTATTTATTTCGAAGTCTTTTTTAAATATAAGCAGTATTTTTGTAGGAAATACCTAATGGTCAAGAAACCTTCATAATACTTTGCCTGCCTACGTGACTGTGCGCGCGTTTTGAATTTAATTTACTTGCAAATATTTATTTCTTATATATCTCTCTCTTTTAAATATTATTTCGCTTCACTTATTAATATAGTATTCGGGCATGTTTATACATTACTATCTGCCATGAAAATCCGTTTAGTAGGTCAGTCCGTTCAGATCTTAGTTGAGATCTTAAGCCAGCATTATGAAGACGCGGCGGCGGCGATGAGGATTTTTTTACCTAATAAGGTCACAGTCGTTAGACCCACCCGGTACCCGACCAGCACCGTCTCCACTCGTGTGGTTGATATTTTTTGTATGGATTTCTATGTATACGCTCACTATATCAACCCCGTTCCGTCACCGGATAACCTTGCTTGCAAGCTGTCCGCGCGAGGGCGGCAAGTGGACAACTCGCTGCTCACACGTTTGCCATGTGCTAGTCGCTGCTTGTTAACGCGCTGCTCCTGTGTGAACCGCGCACTGCATGCGGGTTAACAACGTTTTTCATTTTCTGCTTTATCCAGCGTTGCTGGTAATGGGGTCGTAAAATGTGTAAAATCGGTCGAGCCGTTTCGTAGGACTGCGACCACAATCACGGTGACACGAGATTTTTATAATATTAGATAGGTAAATTTTCTCACACCTATCATCCGAAAAATAGAACTGCTGACGAGTAGCCAGTCTCTTCCTGTCTCACATTCATTAGGAGAGAGCGAGAGAATGATGACACTAGTGAGTGATTTTAGTTAAGCATTGCATATGTACCTTTTTAACCTAAAATGTACCTTTCAGTGCTGAATATGGTATGAATAGCGTAAGTACCTTTAGGTAACTTAGTTGCGGCAACAATGGCTTTATCAAGCGCGATATCTTAGTGTCAATTATCGGATTGTAAAATGAAACATTATGAAAACACCCGTGAAAACATCTCTAAGGGTGCGGCCAGAGTGCACTCAGATTCAGATTCAGACTCAGAAAACAAAGCGCGAGAAAAAGCAGGCAACCTGCTTAGACTACACTGTTTATTCCTCGCGCTTGTTTTCAGAATCTGAATCTGACTCTGAATCTGAGTGCACTCTGGCCGCACCCTAACACACTACTTAATTGTCGCTGACAACGTGGAGTCAACTACGTGTCGGCGCGGCGTTCAACCGTCGACCATTGGTTGACAACAAGACATCCACATGTTGACATGGAGGCATCTCGCCCACCTGAGTTTACTCGTCGACCATACATGAGTGGATGTCGCGCAACGAGGCGGTGCCGAGTGGTTCTAATGAGCTATGACCTTTACTTTCAAACTCTTCAGCTAAGCCTAGATAATTCTTATAAAGTCATTAATTTTGAATAATCTATATATACTTGTATAAAACTCAAAGGTGACTAACTGACATAGTGATCTATCAACACACAGCCCAAACCACTGGACAGATCGGGCTGAAATTTGGCATGCAGGTAGATGTTATGACGTAGGCTTCCGCTAAGAAAGGAGTTTGATCAATTCTACCCCGAAGCAAAGCGAGGGCGGGCCACTTGTTTATTATAATTAGGTTGACAAAATGACCCCCATCCCAGTAGTGCCATCATTGTAACACTGTTCGGACACAGCGCAGCAGTAATATCTCTCTTAGTCTCTTGCCGTCGCAGTGAAAGCGGTACTGGACAACGACAGACCCAGACCCCTAGCATGAGCACCACGAAATGATACTTATTATGTAACTCGTTTTTACTACTATGGACTTAAACCCACGGAAGTTGGAGCCAAGCTGGCCTTTTACGTAGACGATACTCAATACGTAGGGAATCTTTAAACCACACTGAACGCCCCTATGCTAAATAAATGGAGGATGTCCATCAATATAGACAAGACCCAAGCCACTATAGTTGGCCCCAAAAACACTTTTACCGCCACCAATTAAAATCAACGGAGAGTCAATGCTTTGGCGACCAGATATAAAATACTAAGGATTTTAAATCTAAAGAAAAGATTAGTAGAAAAAAATCCACGCGGACCAGGCAACAGACGGGACGCGAACCTGCGCCCTTCGCTATCCGGGGGAATGCACTGACCTTTAAGCTACCGCGAGTGTTGCCAATTGTTGAAAGCTTCATCATCATCAGCCTATTAACGTCCCCACTGCTGGGGCACAGGACTTCCCTATGGATGGAATAGGGAGATTGGGCCATGAGTGCCTTCCGAAGCACGGAGGAGCTCGAGATAGTAGTTTTTGGTCACCCATCCAATGACCGACCACTGCGAAAGTTGCTCAAGTTCAACGATCGCAGCCGAACGCTAACTAACTAACCACTTGCGCCGTCGAGCTCCTCAAAAGTTGAAAGCTTGTTTGATAATTTTTAATCAAACATATGTAGGTTTTAATATAAACAGGAAACTTTAATATAAACTCATAAGGATTATTCTTTATCGAAACTTCCTTATGAGTTCTGAATTCTGTACTCCTGAAAAAAAACACATTTTTCACGATAGAAAAAATAACTGTTTTTTTGCTAAACAGAAGTTAAAGGCAATGTTACTGTTTCCGCTCTAACAATAAAATATAGTGGACCTTCTTTGATTATTCTTTATTGTTTGATTGTTTGAATTAGTTTTTTTTCGGAGCTGGTACCATATAATTTGATGAGAAAAAAGGAATTTAGAGCACAGCAGATTTTGGAGCTCAGCAGATTTGGACACATGATGCTTGCACCGAAATAGTCACGGGTTTGATTCCTATACTTGCAAATTACAATGAACCAACAATCATAGTTGAAGTTGAGTTTCATATCTTTTGATACAGTTCATCCTTAAAAATAATGATTGTAAGGTAGGTATTATTAAGTTTTCAATGTTTCATTCATAATAAGTGAAAACCTAATATTATTGTCGTACTTGACCTCACTGTTAATATAGAATTATTTATGGGTTTGGTTTTACAGTGCGGATATTGAATGGCTTTTGTGTTTGCTGCGTTGTCTGGTAACCAAATCGATTTTACCATTACCGATTTGTCAACGCATCGGAAAAGAACATTGTATACGCGTGTACGAAATTGTAAAAAAATAAAAAAAAATGGCAGAATATATATCGAGGAACCATATTTGTAGCGTTGGATTATGATTTGAAGAAGTGGCTTTGGTTCTAAAGATAGATCAAGGAGTTTAAAAGTGAAAATGGCAGCAATACTACCTGCGGGACTTCGTAATGGGGTGAGAGTTTGAAAAAGTTTTTTTTATCACTATTAACAAGTATAGTCAAACGCAGTTTAGTGGTAAATTACTGTAAATGTTGAAATGTCGTGGATGTTTGATATGTTTGTCTATATAAATATATGTATCAGTATATGTCTGCTATCTGTTAGCTTAGTATCCCATAACAAAAGCCTACAGTGCTTACTTTGGGGCTAGGCTAATTAGTGTGAGGGTTGGAAATATTTATTTATTTATTACTAATACTAACTTACCTAATGGAGAAAATCAAGCATCTTAAGCAAAGTAGAAATAAGTTAATGTGATACGAAAAACATTTATTAAGCATTTCAAAAATAAAAGAATTTCATTTCTATTATTTTTATCTAAGCACTTTATGCTACTAAGGAGGGATGCTTATTAATTAATTGTTCGAAATGAGCCCCAATTTGGACCACTACAACGATTAGGCACCTATAGGGGTAAACATTTTGAATACATTCTGTGTTTATTTAAAAGACATAAATATATAGAGGTATAATACTGATCAACCTTTAAAAATATAATATATACTATTTTAATTTGTAGTACTTAAATGAAATAAAACGGAAGTACGGCTAATTCTTTTCTGCACCTACATGCCTGTAAACATATAACACACAGCGATTATAAACAATAAAATTTAATTAATTAGCACTCAAATCAACAAAGGTACTTTTTAGGTACCGATACGCGTTGATTGTTATGTACTTACAACAACTTATTGTTTCGGCGGCGTACAGTTCTTTTCTGACCTTGCGAAAAGGAAATACGTACTTACATACCTGCAGCTTCCTCCCAGAATTTCCACTGAACAGTATGGTTTTAGACGTTTACTCGAGTGCATTCGACATTAGTGTAGTTCTTTGTTGAAGAGATGGTAGAAGATAAGAAAGAGGATTCCGCTGGGAGCACAGATGAGTCTGATACTCCTACTATCAGCGTGGAGGAGATTGAGGTGGGGAAAAGTACGCAACATGTCGCAAAAGCAAATGTAATTATACCTAATTAATTGTAATTAGTTATCCTTCTCATATTATAAATGTGAAAGTTTGTATGTTTGTTACTCACGCAAAAACTACCGAACGAATTTGGATGAAATCTGTTAAGTACGCATATAGTTTATGACCTGGATTTAGAGATAGGATATATTTTATCCCGGAAGAATGACGGGCGTTTCTATGGTTTTGCTAAAAGTACTTAAATTAACGCGGATGAAGTCGCGGGCGGCCGCTAGTGTTTATTACCTGTATATTTAATTGAGAAGGAACTAAGTGGTTTGATTGATCGACCCAGCAAATCAATTAATCAGTAGCCTTATTAGTTGAGGTTGACAGACAATGTACAAAGAAATTCAAGCGTATTTTAGATAGCTAGGTACGTAATTAAAGTAACTTTTTTACTTAGAATTTTGCTTGTTGTTTTTACTGAGGGAGTACTAAGTTAAAGGGTGAAAAGAAATATTATGTATGCTGAGAAATGTAAAATAAATAATTTGTCATAAGGTTAATTTGGAGCATTCTAGTAACGTACAACTACCTAACAATTAAGTTAGCTACGTGAACTCATTTTTATACTTACCGTTTATTGGGATGGTGTATCCTCAATTTACTTCTATTAGAAGATGCACTCACCTTGAAATATAATCTATGCCTATGCATTTACGAGTATCTAATAGTGATAATGACTTAATTTTTTTCTTCGTTTATTAGGTAAATTGGAAACTATTGGACGAGTATTTAGCCCCTTTTAAAAGAATCAAAATATAACAGAGTCATTTTGATTTAAACCATCGCATGACGTCACGTCTTGGTACATTTTTTACTTAGAAGTAAACTCACACGAGCCCCCTCTGGCACTCTTGGACGCGCTTTATCTTTGTTATTCTTTGATTGAAGTACAAAAGAAAAATGACGTCTCCATTATTTACTGATAATTTAACTGATTGACTGAATTTCGTTTACTTTACCCGGTTATCATCCATATTGAAGACATGACACTTACCGCAAGCCAAGCGAATTTACCGCGAAACAAGCAAAACCACGAAACATGCGAATTTACCACTCGTATTATAACACTAAGGAACTTTTGCCTGTGGTATTGGGATGTATGGGGGGTTCCTAAACGGAAATGTGTGTGTGGCTGGTGTGACAAATATTTTAACCACATCAGCTATCTTTCCACAAATATTTATTTCTACAATTTAGTTATAATAATGATGAAATATTAGCATCGGATTTGTTTGCCGTGTTTTGTTGTGACGCGTCAAAAGAGAGTCCGTTTCACTTAATTTTTACAATACAATACAATACAAAACACTTTATTGTACACTACAAATAACGTTACATAACCAATTAAAACTAAAGTAACCTAGATCTCTTCCAGGCAACCTTTGGTTGGAGAGGATAAGAAGGAATATATAGTGAGAGATGAGACACATGCGACGCAACCCAAGACATTCTATTGTATGAAACAAATATGCTATGAAAGTAATAAGTACCGTTCTGTCGTGTAGCACGCAACGCAACCTCGTCAGGCTAGAGTGCATAGAATAAAAGTAATCAGGTGGCCCAGTGACTTAATTTAAAGCTAGCTGGAGGCCCTAGCTTCGCCTACAAAACGGATCTCGCCCCCTCAGAACCAACCGCTTATTCTCCTTAAAAAACTAAATTAAATTTCGGCTTGATAATGTCACTTGTATTAACTTCATGTTTCAGTATTCAATATTATGTTCGCTCCTCTATTCCGCTGATAGTGGATACTAGGAATTATTATTCATCATCATGCTATGTTATAAAATAGGTGACCAAAGGAAAGACAATTTGGTTTATATTTTAGATGTTTACTGCTCGGAGCCAATTATAAAGTATTTTAACCACCAAATTTTCTGCGTATATATTTTACAGGATACATTGTCGGCAACGCCATCTACTTTCCAAGTGTCGACACCAGTACCCTTAGTAGGAGTTTTACAATTACGAAAACTATGATAGTTTTCGTGAGCTCGCACTCGTACTAAGGGTACTGATTTTATTGTTTTCGTTTCAATACAAATAAACAGTGTTTACTTTTTATCATTAAATCATTTGCGTCTTCTGAAATTCTATGTATATTAGGTTACTTTTCACCAAAATGGACATAGAAACGTAATTTACAATTACGAAAACTATGATAGATTTCGTGAGCTCAAACTCGCACTAAGGGTACTGAACACCCAATGCAAAGTATCCAAGCCATCTAGATTCACCAGAGTGACTAGATGGCGCTGTCGTAACATCCTATTAATGTCCCACTGATGGGGCACATCCTTCACGGTCTGTAAAGACTGCAGATACAGCCGGGATCAACGGCTTAACGTGCCTTCCAAAGGACGCAGGAATAAATTTTGTACACCCATCCAATGACCGACCATTGCGAAAGTTGCTTAACTTCAATGATATCATCGAGCTATTATTATTACTTATAATTAATCTTTCATTATTAGGTTAAAGGACTGGACGCCAACCGGTATGCCACGAAGAAGACCGTGGCCCAGGGCATGCTGGACATTGCTCTGCTCACCTCCAACGCCTCCCAACTAAAGTACGTGCTACAAGTCGGCCCTAAACACGAGTTCTACACCTTGCTAGTGGTGCTCATATCTATATCCATCGTTTTACAGGTAAGTTATATTATAATACGTTTTTTGATGTAATTTTAAATAGTACATCTATTGCGTTGGGTGTGAGAGTGGCTGTTGATTCATTGCAAAATGCAAAATTCATGACAGTATACTGTCGTATCCAAAAATCGTAAATATGCTGTCTAATATCGACCGTATAGAAGGCGACGGGGATGGGAGCAGAGGTTTTGCTTGAATCTGCTGCTGACTGGGTCCACCTGGCTCTCGAAGTCAACTATCTACACGACCATCGCTGTCACTAGCCAGTCCTTAACCGCCGTTAGATTCACCACTTCACTCGTTGCATATTTGGAACTCGATTGGATGTTATAATAAATATTTCTTACTCTCAAGCCAATTACTATAGGCCTAACTAAGCACTGTAAGGATAGTTTTACATGAAACAAGGATAAGGGATTGATATACACATAAATAATAGCCATGACTTAGGTACAAATGCTTGTATTCATCATAAAAAAACATTTGTCTCAGCGGGATTCGACATATAGACACAAGATATCTATCTACCTTTGAGTAGGCGACACACTTGAAACCTGTGTATCTACATTCCACTAACAACACGGAGGTCGTCATTATTTCGATCGTTTAGGTGGCGATGGGAATGGTGATGTTGTCCCTGAATCTACTGCATGACTGCCGGTTCCACATTCCACGGTGGAGCAGCTCAGCGCTGGGGGTCAACTACGCTACCACCGCCGCTGCGTTCGTCGTCACAGTTCTCAATGTGTTGGTCGCAGCGTTCGACTCTTCGCTCGCAGCGTATTTGGAACTCGATTAGATGTTATTAGTAGATACCGCTCTGTCAAGAAATTGTTGTCGTTTCGAAGGAAGTAGTGACCTGCCCACTGAAGGCGATGACCAAACACGAAATTTGAAAGCTCCGAAATTGTCAAATTTTGTATGGAAGGAGCCAGTTTATACTAAAGTCTGGTAGGGGTTGCTTGCTTCTTCACTGCTTTAATTATCATAGAAACTTTAACGATGCCATTTCGGAGCTGCCAAAATTCGTTTTTGGGCCTCAGTTAGTAAGTTTGTCAGCTTAATCAGATAACGTACGGTTAAAACATGAAGTCATTTTATTTAACCAAGATGCCTATCAAATGCTAAAATCTACACCTTAGTAAAGAATAGTCTATCAACTATTGTTTTAGCCAACAAGTAGTATTGATAAAAATGAAAAGACCCGAGATGAGATAGAACACAACTTAATGATCTCCTAAAAGTGGCAGACACCAACTACTTAGTAAAGGCGGAGGATACTAATTTAGGAGCAACAATATTTTTTCTATTCTTAACTCCACGAATTTGCACCAGCAGAAATCTGGAACATCAGCACTAATTAGTTACTAATAACACATTTTTCTCAAATCTATCAAGACATTTGGTTTTAGATGATCTGCCGCGGAAGTGCCTCCGATGGTGGAAGTGCCTAAATAAGCAATCCATCGTAATAGGCCGCGCACTTAGCTCTCTTAGCTCTCAGCGCGGGCTGTCCTGCACACGTCTGCGGGATCACCCGAGATACCCCGAGTGATCCCTGCCGTGGAGCCCCAGTTAGGCCGGGAGGCTGTCAGGTGCGGGGACACGGTGAACTCCTTTAACGTGGTTCCCATGGTTCCGCACCTAACAGCTAAAGAAGAGGGTATTTGTAGGTTTTAGAAGATCTGTTGCTTGTTTTAGCTTCTGGTCGGGCTGCTGTTCGTCATAATTGGCGGTTTGGACTTGAATGACCACGACGACCAGCCCTCGGCTCTCGTCCTCAATGACGTCATTGTTATATTCATTTTTGTTATATCCGTCATCAATATTGTTATCTCCGCTTTTGGTATAGAGTATTCAAATAACCCGTTGATATTGGAAAGACTTAATTATATTAATAGTGAATATTTAAGGAAAGCTAACATAACTGTATCTTAGGATTAGGTAATTTATTAACATAACCAAAAAATAGATAGTACAGAATGTAATCTCATGTATATACTTCATTTATCGTTACTACGCTTTCATTTCTAATTTTGGCTTGAGCATAAAAAATCGTGGTAGCGGCACTCGTACGTATCTAGTTGTTTGATTAAAATCTATTGTTGAGAACGACTCGTGAAGATTGGAAATAAAAACCAATAATAACTAAAATATTTTAAGTTTAATGATAACGAATAAAAATTCAACATTTAAGGTTTAATTCAAACAGACGTCCACTGAAAAGTTATAACTTTATACGTTATTGTAATAACGTTTTTTTGTTGGTCCATTTTTGCCCACAAACGCGTAGTACGTGTCTCAAGCGTAACTCGCGCTTGCACTGGTCCCAAGCTGTCCGAGATACGTGTCCGTGAGCAGTGTCTATGAGTGCATGCTCGAGCAACGCACGTTTTACATAGATTACCTTCTGTACAATCTATTTTGTGATATAACTCAATACAGAACTGAATTAGGTAATCAATAACTTAAGTGAATTAGAGTAGGCACTTGATGGCATAGATAATAGACTTCGGTGTTGTGTAACAAGCAACCGTTTTGCTAATTAACTAATATTGCCTTGACTTGATTTCTTTTGCAAGTTTTCTTGAATTCTCTCAATATTATCGAGTGAACTTTTTGTTATTGTTAAGGTTCGGATTAATATTGTATTATACCGATGTTTCTCCCATAATTGCGCGACGATGCTTCGGGCGGCTTTGGCTTTGGTACTAAATAAGCTAAAATTTTGCGTTCGAAATTATATATATATAAGTATTAGTTCTGTTGTACGTAATGAATTATAGGGCTGCGTGATAGCTGTAGACGGTAGCTTGACTGACGACAATTTTACACACTAAAGAGGTCGTGGAAAACGATAAATTTTATATGTGCTGAAGTAGCGTACTTAAATCAAAGTTCGAATGCAAATAGCGCATTTTAGTACCAAACCTACCAAAGCCATCCGAAGCTTCCTCATGCAGGTGTGTGGGATATGCATTAGAGAATAATCTACTTTTGCTTCGTGCAGGCGAGCGCGGGAATCCTGGCGATTGTCATGACGTTTTTGGATGTTGACTACAGTGATAGACAAAAGAAGATCGCGTACTGGCTGTACCACGCTTCAGTGGGTATGATGACGGGCGTAGTGTTCTGCGATGTAATGAAAATGACCTTTGGCTTGGATCCCGCGCTCTCTGAAAAGGATCTACTCGGAAACACGACATCAAATTTTTACGATTGGTTCTTTAAAATCAAGCAATAATATAGTATAAGACCTAAGATATTGTTCATCACTTTACTGTCTCTAATATTGACCCATTCACGTGCCATGTAATAATGTTATTGTTAAGTATTAAGTTAGATTGACTAAGCATATTTCAAATTAGTAACTTAGTACTTGGATGTTTAAATTAGATTTTTACTATGATGATAGAGGTACATAAGGTAGGCAGCACAAATTTCTGTCAATTTTACTATTTATTTTAATATTCGAACATGTACACGGTTAAATATAGTGCACTGCATTTTTATTTTCAGCGAAGTTTTTTTTTATTTATTTTACGAGTCTTTTTTTATTTGAGTTTTTATTTTTTCATTTTTTGTTTTCACTCTAGGTAGTATCCGCCATAGTCGCCGTGGTGCTCGGCAGCATATTTAACATAAACCGACAACCGGACCATCGGAGGGCTGAAATCCTCAATGACACCACCCTCATTTTCAAAATCATAAGCATCAGCATCAACGTTATTATTAGTGTCCTTTTTTCAATTCAAATGGATAGCATCTCTATATTAACATTGTAATGTTTTAGTTAGCAACGGTTTGTTTTTGCAGGCCTGTGGAAAAGTAATTCTAAGACTAAAATGTACCAAAATGTAAAAACATGTAGGTTACTTAAATTTGAAATGAAGGATGAAAGATAAAGAAAATATAGGTAGTACTTTTAAGCATACTACATACCTAACAACTTAGTCAGAATGTAAGTAACATTCTGTCTAATATTTCAAAAGGTTATTTTCATATTTAATTTAAAATAAAAAATTGTTACCTAAGCGATAACATTTCTTAACAGTAACCAAAAATATGTGCACCATTTTATTGTTTGAACACAATACTTTTATTAAAGCTTTTGTAATGTTTCTGTAAACATAATAAATGGGAGCACCTATTGTATATTTTAGTTCGTTATTTTTATTTTTTTAATGTACTCTACACACTATTCACAATTTAATTTTTATGACTCCATATATCGAAGAATAAGTTCATAGCTAACTACCTTCCTACTTTAGTTAGTCCGTTCTATAGGAATCAGACCGAATAGTAAATACCTATTTCTTGTATTCTCATGTATTTTCATGTATATATATGTTTAGTTAGGAAAGTACTCAGTGTGTAAGTTAAGTAATTAAGCACTATAGAGTCTAAATCATAATCCCAAGTCATCAATATTATCATGTCAATAATAATCAGGCTTTACCTTTGATTATTTACTCTCTTTACCTATGAAATTGCCGTTCTGCTTTACTGGCTATATCAAGTCCATTGTTTTCTTTTTTCGCTAAGAATTCATAGTTCGGATTTATTTTTATTTTTAAAATATGGAATTCTTTCTCGAAAATTAGTAATTTGTGTAATTTTTTGTCATCATGGAAAGTTAAAAATTCGAGCGGCAGAAGGATCGGCATTCAACACGACGACGCATACGAAGCGAACATTTCTAACAATCGCACCACCCGTTATTTTTTTGCCCGCTTCCGTTTTGGAAATTTCGACCTAAGAAATGAACCCCGTGATCGACCGAAAACTTTATTCGAAAATTACGAAATAAAGGCGATTGTGGAAGCTCATATGATTCTCAGTCTACAGCTGAATTAGCAGCAGCTTTCGGTGTTAGCATCGAAACAATATTGGTCCATTTGTGTCAACTTGGCAAGGTGAAAAAGCTTGACAAATGGGTGCCGCACGAATTGAATGATCGCCAGCGCGAAGTACGCATCGAGTCGAACCTTGCACTGCTTAACAGATACTCAAACGAAGGCATATTGTAACGCATTGTTACTTGCAACGAAAAGTGCATGCTGTTCGACAACCAAAAGCGCTCAGCAAGTCGGTTAGATCCTGGTTCAGCACCTAACAATGCCCCAAACGAAAACTGACCCCTAAAAAGTGATGGTCACTGTTTGGTGGTCCAGCGCCGTTGTCATTCATCACTGCTTCTTACCAAACCGGATAAGCATTACTGCAGATATGTATTGCAAAGAACTGAATACAATGACGGAGAAGTTCGCACATCTCCAACCAGCTTTGGTCAATCGTTCGGCTCCGCTGCTCCTGCACGACAACGCGCGACCTTATACTGCAAAGCAGACGGTCTCGGGCGGAAGTTCTCCGTCAACCACCGTACTCGCCAGACCTTGCCCCTACAGACTTCTACTTTATCCAGAATTTGGATAACTTCTTAGCGGAGAAAAAATCAATAACTGAGAGGCGGTTCAAGTTGCCTGTGAAGAATTTCTTGCCTCCCGTCCAGCAGACTTTGTCAAAAAAGGGCATCGATAAGCTACCACTACATTGGCAAAACAGCATTGATTGCATGGGTAATATCTTTGATTAATAAAAATAACAAATATTGAAAAAAAGCGCGTTAACTTAATTCATGAAATTTCATAGGTAAAGACCTAATAAAAACAACCTAGCATCTAAATAAGCCAAGGGTAAAGAGGTAGGTAGTAGGTTCTTATATCACACCATTGTAAAAAGTAATGAAAACTTGCTCCAGTTAAGTAATTAAGCACCTATAATGGGAATGGTTGCGATAGTATTTTGTTTCTTTTTCAATTTAACTGGATATTTATTTCTGCGAGGAAATGGAACGAAAACTAAACTTCAAAAGTCGCCAGGTACCTACATGGATATGCATCTTTAGATCGCAATGCGTAGAACCGTACCTAACAGAACGTTTTCAAGATATTATTTTGTATCACACTATTGTATAATTGTATCAGTAATAGTTAGGACGGATTATTTTATTCGGAAGTTCACTTACTAATACCTTACGGTACCTTGTTACTTAAAAAATGCACTAGCATCACTATATACTTTGTGCTTAAAAATGTAATTAAAGTAGGTAGGTACCCTACTTATGTAATGATATTATTTCCATATTAATAAACATATTATCAATAACAACTACCTGAATTGTTTTTCTCACTGATCATCATCATCATCAGCCTATTAATTACCCCACTGCTGGGGCACAGATCCAATCTCCCTATTCCAGGTAACTCGTGGTGGAAAGGCAAATCGACGATCCATTACGCGGGCCCACCCGTAAACTTCTTGAGCATATGTATATATATAATAGTATTGTTCATCAAAGCTCTGTCTGTTCACACTCTCAAACGATTTTGATGATTCTTTTTTGTTTGGAAAAGTTTGTTAGCGAGGTGGCCCCATTTAAATTTAGTGAAGATCTGATCAATAGTATCGGAGATAAGACTATGCATTATTTCTTATATTTTGATGGTTTTCTTCTACTGGATCTTAATTATTGCCGATCGTACCTATCTCATAATTATCTTAGCTTCCTCCACTCCTTAATCTTGCTTTTTCTCAATCCTTTTCTTTCAAACTTGCATCCAATACACTCCCCTTTCTCTTTATCAAAGGAGCGGCTGTTGTCTTAAAATTAAGTTCATAGAATTACGCCAGAATCAGCCCCAATGTTTATTTACGATTTGTTCAGAAATCAAGGTGACACTATTAGGGAAAGACACAGCTCTCAATCTTCTTCCGTACACGGGTTCTAAATAGGTGATTATTTCTTTTACTGGGTACTGCGATTATGTAAAAAGGTCCACTGCCATTGACATTGTCATAGTCCTGGACCTATTACTGGTCCATGTTATAGAAGTATTTTTGAGAGCTTTGTATTGCAACAAAAAATTGTCTCATACTTCAATGGCAGTGACTTAATACCATTAGAAAGGGAGTTCCGGCTTACTATTCAGACTCTTTCTGACCAAATTGTTAGAACGGTGAGCATTTCTGTTACCGTTTATTAAAATAACTTTCCTGAATCTAAAGAAAAAATTACTAGAAAAAAATCCACGCGGACTAGGCAGCGGACGGGACTCGAACCCGCACCCTTCGCAATCCGGGCGAATACACTGACCATTATGCTACCACGGCCCTATTGGCCGCGTCGAAATTTTCCTAGCCTTAAGCTGCAAGGCAGCACCATCTCTTCGCATTCTAAGTAACCCACAAGATAAAGGTAGATTTAAACATCTTACCAGTTAAATGCTTAAATTTATTTATTATAAAAACATAACTATAACTGCTATTTCTTCTTTCAAATGTTCAATACTTGAAAAAGTATTCATTTGATATTCTGGGTTACCTACAGTGGTTTTTTTTTAGTTCGCGTGGTTTTTGAAGTTATACTTCTTTAAGCGCGTTATGAAAACATGATGAGAGTGAAATTTTAAGATGCGCGCGCATCACTGTAACACAAAAATTAACAGCATGAAGTTGGTCGCTTTAGTGTCGCTAAAGCGACCAACTTCATGCTGTTACTTTTGTGTTTACCGCACATTAAGAAAATCTACCAACAAAATAGAAATAGAATCTCTATTTAGTGAGTGCTAACGACTGCATTGTGAAGGCCTATCAAAAGTATTTATTAATCTGGAACAACGGAACCAAAGCGCGATTCAGGAGATTACAGCGCCATCTCTTGACCATTGGTGTAGTAGAACCAAAAACCACATCTTTATTTTTTGTAATAAAGTAACAGTTATAGGTATTCATATTTATAATATTTATCCACACGTTTCTAGTTTGTATATTCGGAATACGTGTTTGAGTTTCATACAAGTGCAAATCACATATGTTTTAATAAATTATATTCAGTAACGATTTTAATTGAATATTTTGATTATTTATTTATTTTTTCAAATTAAAACTGAACTTTATTGACTGTGTCCTTTTCCAGACTTTTTATTAATTTATTGTAATTAATTATTTGCATGCAATTAAAAACTAATTTTAAACGATGCCAAAGAAGGATAACTTCTCACGCGCCTGCATAAGTACACGCACCCATTTTTTTTTTCTAGTAAACTTTTCTTTAGATTTAAACATCTAGCAGTTAAATGCTTAAAAATAAATAAAAACACAACTATAACTTTCTTGGTCTAGGTATCCTATGTTACCCGGGATGGTGAAAGGGTTCTAACGAAACCACACACATCTAAATCGGTTCAGTCGTTTAGAAGTTATGATGGTGTAAAGAATTGTAAACCTGAATATATTACACTCTTTTTCTAGGCGGTCGTATAAAAAAAAAAAAAAAAAACAATTTATGTATTCCCATGAGGCGATCATCTTTTATCGTTCAATTGCTTTTATTCAATTTGATTTAAAATCTGTTCGGACGGTTCAAATCGAATTTTAAAAACCCGTTTAACAATTAATGTGTGTTAAATTTTTAGTTCTTTGGGATAAGACTTAAAATTAAATTGAGATATCAAAACGCAGTCTGAAAAGTAAGTCCATGGAAAAGGTGCATTAATAAAACGTGAAAACGTCACTGTCACTGTCATTGCGTTTCGTTCGTCTTAAAATTGGTAAACTCAACTCATTCACTTGTTGCTTGAAAATCAATAACTTAATACATGATAAAAGTTCTCTTCAGTTTGATATTATAATTTAGTCCATAGTTAAACTAACATTCTTATTAAATTTTGTGTCATTAATTTACAACCTCCTTGAGAATCTGTTTAATAAAAAGTAAGTGTCGAGGTTGCCGCGTACGCTGACTGTGACTGTGTGGCAGCGAAGCGAGATAACGAGTTTGCATTCTATTGCCCTAAATCCGCCGGTACACGACACGACTGTCATTCAGTTGGTTTTAAAACACGACAGCAGCAAGACGTGACAATGGCAAGCGGAAGGATAGTTGTATACGGTGGCCGCGGAGCTCTCGGCGCTGCTTGCGTCAACCACTTCAAATCCGCCAACTGGTGGGTAGCTAGTGTGGATCTCAATCCGAACGAGAATGCTGATTGCAACATTGCAGTTCCCAAGGACGCTTCGTGGGTGCAGCAGGAGGAACACGTGGTGAATGAACTCGGCGCCGCGCTACAAGGTCAGAAAGTGAACGCTGTTATATGTGTCGCCGGTGGTTGGGCAGGCGGAAACGCCGCCAAGGATCTCAGCAAGCAGACTGACTTGATGTGGCGCCAATCTGTGTGGAGCTCCACTATTGCAGCAACACTTGCCGCAAAATACTTGACCCCAGGAGGTCTGCTTGCCCTAACGGGAGCTAAAGCTGCCCTCGAAGGTACACCCGGTATGATCGGATATGGCCTTGCTAAAGCTGCTGTCCACCAACTCACAAAATCTTTGGGTGCAAAAGACTCGGGGCTTCCCGAAAATTCATTAGCTGTAGCCATTCTCCCGGTCACCTTGGACACAGAAATGAATAGAAAATGGATGCCAAAAGCTGACTTTGGATCATGGACACCTTTGAATTATGTGGCTCAGTTGTTTGACAAGTGGATTAAAGGAGAAGAGCGCCCGCCAAGTGGCAGCTTAGTTGCTCTTGTCACAAAAGACAATGTGACAGATTTAATTGTCCAATAGATCTTGCCAGGCGGATATGTTGTCAACAGCCTATTTTTCATGACAATAAGGAGTAAATATTGCATAATATTTAGTGTTGTTATAGTATTAGAAGCATTTATGAAACCACTAAATGATATGCTTTTAATGTTCTAAGTTGTTAAGAATATTATCAGACAATAAGGGAACAAATCTCATTTAATTTTATAAGTGTGTATGTATAATGTATACATGAAATGTATAGAGCAGTGGTTCTTAACCTTTTACTGATGATCAAAGATAAAGGAGTTATCTCATGCTCATAACTTTATCTACTGCACATGACTACTAACTTATCTCTAATATCAACTCCACATAAATAAATATGCGACAGACCACTACTGACAATTTAATCTCCCCTAGAAATTGTAAATCAATAGTGTACTTCCTAAGTAATAGTTTTTCCAATGGCTTGCTCCCAGTGCCTCCAGGATCAGTCTGCAGACCACCAGTTAAGGACAAGTTATGGAGTATGATTTTATTGTGATTTAAACTGTTTTGAATTTAAATGTGATATATTATAAAGAAATATATTTAATAAATGTTGTGAATGATCTGACCTATCTCTTTTTATTTATACTTTTCCTAACATTGATAAGAAGTTCAGCAGAGGGTACAGTAAATAGATAATTGGATTGTACTTTAACTATGTTGCCTTATGTAATACTAATTTTGGAGACAGTAATAAATCAAATAAACAATAATTGTTTGATTAATAAAAGTTGTTTTTAATTTTGGGAGATTTATGCAAATGAGACATGATTGCATCATTATTAGCTATTATGAATCCAAATTTTAATTCTGTTTCTTAGGATTAATTGATCTAAATATTAAAATATATGTACAACAGTACCATTTAGGTGTTTTAATTTTTACTGTAGTAATAGCATGGACCAGTAAATACATGGTCCGTGGTAATTGTGTATTTCTGCAGTAGAATTTATTTAATTATTCAATTAGGTTATTGTGTGGGCCAGCTTCTCATGAAAAATATAGAATATTATGAAGATATAGTTATAAGAATAAAGCTTTTTTTTCTACTATGTTAGTGCTGAGATAAGTATGACGACTAATACTGAATTCTTAGATTCATCATAAAGTTTCCCACTATATGTATAGGTTTGGTTCCACCAGACAATTTTCAACCAATTTTCCTTCCTTAATACTTAACACGTCATAAAACCGGTCCTGGTAAATTACCTTTGTTATTGATATAATTCTCAAAATTATGATAAGTAAGTACCTAATTCAACATTCATCTATTGGCATATTAACAATTATTTAATTAACAGATGACGAGACTAAACAAAGTTAATTTTTTGGAGATCGATGGCGCAATAGGTTGGCCTGCTCGGTTTGCGATCGTGGAAGTTATGCAACTTTCACAATGGCCAGTCTTAGGATGGTGACCAAAAGTTTGTTATTTCGAGCTTCTCGGTGCTTCTGTAAGCTCGTTAAGCCGTCGGTCCCAGCTGCCAGTGCTAGGGAAATAACCTCCATCCTACATAGTAATCACAATACCACTCAGTCCAGTCAATGCACGGAGAGAAGGGAAAAACCTAGCAATTCTGCTAAACAGCACCAATTTACATAAAAATTTGAATTTGGGTTCTACTGATCCTTTACTTCAAATTTGTTATGTGTTGAGGGTTGCTATTTCCCTGAGAGTGGACACCACCCCTTCTCGAGATGATTTTTCTTTATTATAAATAAGTAGGTATGGAAATGGAAAGATTGACTTATTGTAAGCAACTTTTGTTCTTCAAAGTTTACACTTAAAGTCAATACTTTTCGGCTTATTTCAGATTCGAAAAGTAAATTTATCAACAAAGAAAAAAAAACAGTTTTCAGACGGTTTTTCATGAATTACTCTGAAAATAAGTTTTTATGAAAACAAAATATATAAAATATATATTCGAAATACTATTGTAGCTTATAAATAATAAACAAAGTACTTTAAATCTAAAGAAAATATAACTAGAAAAAATTCCCCGCGGACCAGGCAGCAGACGGGACTCGAACCCGCACCCTTCGCAATCCGGGCGAATGCACTGACCAAATCTGCTGCCTGGAATTTTTTCTAGTTATATTTTCTTTTGATTTAAACATCAAGCAGTTACATGCTTCGTCAAACGCTAAAATCGTAAGTTTCAACATTAAATATCCTAAGAACGAGTTTCGGGAGAAACTCATACAACTTTTTACGCACGTGTATGTGTGAAAGATAACAAAATCTTTATGGGTATTGTAATATACGTGTTTTTTGATAACTGTAATAATTCGTGTCTGGATATTTATACCATAACTCCCTTAGTTATTGAACTTGAAAGTTAAAAAAACAGTTGTAGGTTTTTCAAAAGCTTTAAGCAGTTATATGCTAATTTATTTTTAAGTTCTTAATATTCTATAGTTTGGAGCTGAAAGAGCATAAACTATTTTCTATCTGCGAACTTATGCAAGCTTCAAACGGCCATATCTTTAAAAGAAAAAAATATGCCAAAATGTTTATAATAAAAAAACCTTAAAAACATTTGTTTTAAATATTGCGTATCTTTAATAGTGTTTGAGTATTTTTTGAAGAAGAGGGGGGTTCCTTCGTTCCCTTGAAATAGAGGGTAAGTTGAACCTTCATTTTGGTGCTAATCAGTGCTGTTTGATGAAATTGCTAGGGAAACCGTAGGGTTGCAACCAGGGCCGTGCCTGGGTATATGGCCGCCTGTGTGCCAGTCTGTATGGCCGCCCCCAGGATAACATTAAAAAAAACTACTTTAATTTTTAATGTTTATTATTATACACAGGGCATCAAACCGGGAAAAAAATCAGTTTTTGGTTAACCGAAATCGAGAACGAAAAAAAATATTGGTTTTGTTCCCAAAACCGGTTTCTGAAAAGAAAAACCGGCTAAAAACCGGTTTTATGAGATTTATATGTTTGGATGAAATTTAAGAAAAAAAAATGCACAAAATAAACATTTTTTTATTTAAAATTTAAACAAAAATAATAACATGAAAAAAATTATGGTATTGGTTTTATAATCACAGACAAAATTATCAAACATAAAGAACAAGGAATAACCCTTAAATCTATACTAACATATTAGGATAACAAAGCTCAGTGGCCAATGGCAGATCTGGGCTGACTTGCAACTTGGGAGGTATACAAAATAGAATTAATTTACTTACTTTAATAATAACATGAAAAAAAGTAATTATGGTATTGGTATTATAATCACAGACAAAATTATCAAACATAAAGAACATAGGAATACGATAATTTAAAATCCTAGGTGTCGCTCAGTGACAATTTAAAATTATTTGATTTTAAAAAATCAAATCTTACGTATTATTTATTGATATTGAAAATAGTAAAGGTTTTTGGTTAATTAACCGGTTTCATAAAATTATTTCGGTTAGGTTACCGGTTAATTAGGGAAATCTTTCAATCTTTCAATTATCGCGATTGAAAGTGAAATTGCTGAATCTTCACGAAGCAATTATTAAATAAAGTACATATTAAAAGTTAATCCTACGGGATTTTTTACTGACAAAATCGTCAATTGCTTCGTGAATATTTAAAGATTCAGCCATTTCACTTTCAATCGCGATAATTGAAAGATTGCTCATACGTTCTTGCGTCATGGAAGTACGTAGGTAATTTTTTATGATTTTCAATTTAGAAAAACTACGTTCTCCAGACGCAACTGATACAGGCATGGTCAATAATAGTTTTAAGCTTGTAGATACATTTGGGAATGAATTTTGTAAATTGTGTTTGTACAAATACTTTAGGAGTTCTTCGGGTTGTTTCCTATCTTTTATAATTATTTTCAATGCAACGCATCATATGATGCTTACGGCGTTTAGAAGGTAATGAAAACAAACCGATTGTATTTTTGCCCAGTAAACAACTTGTAACGATTTGGCCGCCTCTTAATTTCGGCCACCTGCGTGCGGTGCACGCAATGAACGCCCGTCAGGCACGGCCCTGGTTGCAACGATATATCGGAATATCGATAATATCGAGACCAAAATATCGATATTTATATCGATATTTAAAATTCACTGATATCGACAATATCGATATCGGAATTTCCAAAATATCGATATTTCGTAGACTAAATTTGAACACAATAATAACAATTAATTTACCTGCTATGTCTGTATAAATTGAATAATATCGGAATAATTATTGCTTTGTAATCGCAAGAGCATAGAGATGTATTAAAAAAATCTTGAACCCCAAGAAATATACTAAACTGGTGTGGATTTTGGCATGATTCTCTAAAACTAAAATTAAATTTGACAACAGTGTATCCTTGTCATTCTCTATACAGAATGAAAAGGAGAGACTGATGTTAAATTTAGTTTTAAGATTAGATAATCATGCCAGAATCGACACCAACGTATATAGGTATAGGTAATCGTATACCTAATGGTAACTCATGCACTTAAATAAAAACCTTGCCTCTCGTTCTAGATAATTGTTAACTACTGATTAATTGAAATTTAATATCATTGTAATATAACACAAATTTTGGAAGCTTTGGGCTTACCCTATTCTAAAGCCGTGGGCACGCCTCGGATGTGTGGGAGACTAAGCAATTTGCGTATTTGATGTGCGCTAAAAAACCGACATAGCTAAAAGCACGAATGTAGTGAAAACTTAGCGAAGGCATTCGCAAATGTCGTCCCATATATGCGGGTTGGCGCATCCGTGCTAATGAATGTGAGTGATCTGATCAGGATAATAATTTTATTTTTTTTGGTTTCCTGTCGTGGCTGAAACACAAACCGTGCGAGCCAATAAAAAAAATCCTGCTTGGCGCGATTTCACCAAGCGTGTTTAACGAAAAAGCTGGCTCAATGCATTTTGCGAGAAACTCGCCAACAAACATATGAATGTGTCACACTCACCCCGTATTCTAATGTCAATAAAAAATAAAAAGGAAAAAATATCGATAATATCGAGTTAAAATGGTCGATATATCGGATATCGATATTTTCCTGACTTCGATATAAATATCGATATTTTAAAAGACTTTGCATCCCTACGTATATTGATTGACTGGACTGAATTTTTACCGTTGGATTTCTTGACTTCAAAATTATAAGTTGAATACTAAACCTTATAACAATTGCACCCGCAAAATACTTTCCAAACACAACTAGGTATCCAGCAGAAAGTGAAAGTAATTCCGCTACCTACTCCAATTAGATACCTACCATGTCTGCGACAAACAGATAAAATAAGTGCAATAACCTCTCTGAAGGCTGTTATGTCACATAAATTGATACAATTTTTCACTTTCTATTTTTATTAGAACTTTGTCCCGCGACTTCGTCCCGGATGACTTTAGTTTTGCGCTACTTTTATGATAAGAATCTTTTATAGAGTATTGGAAAACTTAAAAAAATGTAAACGTTCAGCCGTTCTATATTTTTATTTGTAAAGAAAGGAGTAACTTATGCGTAGGTTCGAGAAGCAAGCTCACGCGGACTTTCCAACGAATGAGGGCAAGGAGACGGAGCCTTCGTCTTCACGCTCTCCCCGGCACTGGCCTGCGGGGTCTGGACTTATGAGGTGCAAATCATGCCTTGCGCAGGTCTTTGCTGATGGCTGGGGATGTCCATCATGCTCCGGGGCATCCCCAACACTCTCCTCTTTCGGGGGGAGAGGGGTGTGTCCGTTCGACTCGGACGCTCACTGGTGAGTTCACGGAAAACTCCGGATCTAGCTTGGTCCAGCCCAGATTTAGGGACTTTAGTGAGAACATATTTTCTCTATAGATCCTGATTTGAAGCTTTGGATCTATGGAGATTATTTTCTCATATTTACATAGGTTTTATTTATCATTCAGGACTGATATGCTTATGGTTTGTTAACTTTAATGTTCTCATGTTAGTTTTCCATATAAAAAAATACATTATTCCGGAAAAAGTACCAGCAAACCATACATGGCTAAGAGATTTTTGTTATGAAAATGGGAAAAAAGTCTTGTATCTGGGTATGAATAAGATTTTTTTCACTGTTTCATAACCAGAATCTTTAAACTAGTTTGGTCTCCTGCTACTTTTTCCGGAACAACGATTTTATAAATGGATTTGAATGGATCCGCACTACCTAGACGTGGTCTGATTTGATATATTGTAAATAAAACATATTGATAAACAAAAGTTTTCGGTATTTAATTTTGCATCCAAATAGACCTAAAAAAATTAGTTCTCACTAAATTCATCATGGATCTAGTCAATGTACCTATCTACTGAGAGTGAACCGATAAAAAATAGCGTCTAGAGAATTAATGATACTTACTTATGCTTTTATTTACATATATTTATCTTATTCTGTTGCACTATTGATTGATGGAATTTCTATCCACAAAGGTTTTAATTATGGCCTGAAGTTCAGTGAAGTTTTGGTGCGGTTCAGTGTTTATGAAAAAAAAAAACAACAATACCTGTAACGTTAGTAAATTCAAAGTCCAGGTGTTTAAATCTTTGATCGAAGATTTAAGTAAACAAGTAATATAAAAAAAGAATATTTATTGTCATGGCAGACTTACAAATAGTTTATCTCTTAAACCTATTTATGACCTCTTAAAAATATAATTTGAGTACACAAAATCGCCCATTCCACATAGTATTTTAATTCATTTAAAATTGAAGCGATTACGAATAAATTAACTATAAACTAATGATATCTTTTAAAAGATATTATTTAAAACTTTAATCAAATAAAATTGCCCCAAAGTGTTTTAGTCGGTAATTAAACATAACTTGAGTACTTACCTACATATTTGCTTAGTACCTACACTCACATATAAAAAATAAAAACTTGACACTGTATTGTCGAATATTTTCAAAACACATGCATTTTTAAAGCGTATACCACAGTGTCTTAACACACTTCAAATCATACTTATCTGTAGGTATAAGTAATTAGAAAATACATAATTATTAAATTGTTTAAAAAATATATATACACATTATCGTCATTGTAGAGCGAAAAACCATTGAATCGAAATGATAATACAAATGACTCAGTTTTTTATTCCGTTTATTTTTTCTATTAATTCGTTAAATTGAGAATAATTTCTACACACAATGGATCAAGGAAAACACATTAGTGGATTTTCGCAGACGAAAATCTAAATCAATTTGTATTCGTAACTAATTTCGATTTACTGGGGTTTCGCTGTTCGACATCGACATTACATAGATATAGAGTTTTATTTATACAACAATACAATTTTTATCAAGTTATCTACGTCCTCAATGATTTTTATATTATCTAAGCGACTTATTCAATTATAAAATACAGTACAATACAAATTTAACTATGTTTCAAAATACATGGCCTATTGCTTAATTATAATGAAATTACTAATGACGCTAACATTATTTATAAAATTACAAACACAGCATTTTCATTAAATATTATATATTTTTTTAATATCGTTGTTATTTTCATTATGATATAAATATCTTCTGTTAAGGCGGATATTTTATATGGTAAGTTTATTTTTTAAAGACATACGAATTTAATTGATTTCCGCATTAGTAAAAGTACTTACTGACTTTTAAGAATAACATGAAAGTTAATTAAATTCACTTTGTAAGTGTTAAAACAAAAATCAAATTCGTATTAGATAACTAGATTTTATTTTATATAAAAACAATACCAATTTATGTAATCATAATGATAAATCTGTTCTGTAATACAGAAGGAAAGGTATAAAGACACACGCTTTAAATATTTTAAAATGACCGTTAAATAGTAAATTATAATAGTATAAATAGTATCTTATGTTATTCATTGATATTTTTTCCTCTCTTTTTGTTACCAAATTGTCTTAAACTGTAAAAGATCTTGCTCAATACGATAAACGAACAATGCATAATAATGATACTACTAGTTGCCTTGTTATAATATATATAGGTATACATAATTTAGGTTTCCTGACCTGCATTTCTTTAAAGTATATAATTTTAAACACTCGTTGTCTACTATGAATATAGTAATTTTATGTTTGTAAAAATTTACTATAAAGACTGTTTTGTGCTAGAATAAATTAAAAAAAATCGTTCAGTAGATATAATCATTATGGTCTTTCTTTGTTCTTCTTAATTTCATTTTGAATATTTATCGCCTTTTCATAGCATTAAATGATTTCAAACAATTATTATTGATTTGCTAAAATTTCAATTTCTTTATAAAGAGTAGTAATTTTTTTACAGTTTTACAAAACCTTAACACTTAAGTTTAACACATTTTTATTTAAAGCATTAAAATTACTCCGTATACTAATACATTTGTTTTCTAGTAAAAAATTATTTAGATTTAAAAAACCGGTTTGAACCAGACTTTAGTATGGATGAGTGAGACTTTTTACTCTAGACATTCCTTGACCTAGGTAAATAGTTTTCTTTTAATGTTACTGGCCAACGACAGCTCCTTTGACTTTTTATTTTCAACTTCCGTGACCTAAAAAAAGTGTTATTTTTTTTTCAAAAAGTTACCGGCCAATGACAGCTTTGACGGTGCTCTTCAGTATGTCAGTGACCAGCTCGGTGGTCCTGATGATCTTGTAGCCGATCTGGTCGATGAAGGTGATGGCGGTTGAGTACGGCTGCGGCAGCTCAGTGGTGGGCCGCTGCGGGAAACGCGTGCTTATAGCGTCAGAACCCGCGCCCGCATACGTGTAAGTCGGCCTGGGAAACGTTTGGAATAAGCTAAAATTAATTGATGATTATCATAAAAGTCAATTGTATTTTATGATAATCATCAATTAATTCTAGCAGCAGTGCTGCATAAAAAATAATTATTTTTTACAAATAGGCTTGTAAAAAACGCTTTTACGCGTCCCAGTATTACTTTATCCCTAGCACTGCTTCGGGACAATAAATGGGTCCAAATAAAAATAAACACTTATATTTTTTTGAATAAAGTCTGGCTTTGTTGCGCCATAACTTTTTTCACATAGCACCTTGGGACTTCTTGCCATAATAATAGTTAAGGTACATGAAAAAATCTTTACAATAATATGTGGCATGTTGTTATTGGTTCCTAGGCAGACTTCCATACATTTTTGCTCGTTCTCCTTTGAAAACACAGAATTCTTGTTTGGGCTAGAATTAAACTTGAATTTATAGAAAAGAAAACACAAAAGATGTTGTATCCAGAAGAATAGGAATTCTTTGCCTTTTGTTCACACTTACATACTTAATGATATCGATTGACTAACATCCCGACAAAAATCAGCATTTACCTGAATACACGAAGCCTGAGCCTGAGCTCTTAGCTTTCTTTGAGATCAGATACTTAAAATAAAAGCGCATTTAATGACATCTTTATTTAACATTTCTGGGTACGATCATTATCTATATATAGGGCAGAAGCTGGCTTAAATATTCCAATAGCTACTGCCCATTAAGTCCTAGACATTTGCTCCCTAGAATTGAATCCCTTTATGCCATTTAAAGGGTTTTAATGCTAGGGAGCAAATGTCGTTCCTGCCGCCCCTCCCAGCCTTATCCTAAATACATCCCTGAACGTTAGCGTATTAAAGAGTAATATAGTGAAAAAAAACTGGTATTCGGGGATTCCGGAACAATAAGGTCTAATTACTGAATACGGGACAAGACGCCAAATTGCTGGACAATCCCGGATTTCCCCGCAATATGTCAAGCCTACCCAGAAGTCAGGATGAATTAAAAGAAGATTCTTTAATTTGTTAGCACCAACCAATCCGCAAATACCTGGAGAATCTTGAGCAGCTAGGAAAATGTACGGTTATTGTTAATGAAACCGATTCATGATACCATGCTAATATGAACTTAGTTAAGTGTTTTAGTTCTTGATATTCAGGTATTACGAAAAAAACCCTGGCTTGTATGTAGTGTGAATGGCGGCTGTAAAGTCAGTGCAAGTCGCAGCGCTGTAATCAAAATTTAGGGTGATTGAGCAGAAACCTGCGCTAACTTCACAACCGACATAAAGTATGAATCGCTCTATCTATACTAACCGTAGGGAGTAACGTGACGACATCACGCCGCCATGCTGCCCTGCAATGCAACCATGCAACAACCGATGCAAGTACCACAAGAGGTATGATCTGCCACCCAGTAGGAAAAATAACCTCTCAATTAGCATGCCACTCGCTACACTACGTACTAATGAGGCGCAGCTAGACCGTATAAGTAAGAAAAGCTAAAAAGTTACAGATTGAACAGTCATAAAATAAAAGCAAAAAAAAAAGAAGAATCCCAGGTGTAACTCGAATTTGTAAATCGAATTCCTTAGTGCTGAATAATTAACAAATAAGAAAAAAAAATAGAAAAATAGAAGTGATGCCAGTCAACATCATTATTATTTTGTAAAGTGAACTCCTTTGCGTTGGACAAAGAAAAAAACGTGAAATCAATGCAGATTTATTGCTAAATCAATAGAATATGACAACACGTCGCTTCTGACTGACAAACATTAAAACGTGGATTAACAATTTTGTTAAATTAAGTGCATCCGTTAACGGAAGCATTAACATTTTTTCTACTTATTTATCTCTTTATTAACATAGTTCTCGAGAAAAATATAGGATGCCATCATACAACGACTGTTATTTCTTGATGAAAGTAAATTATCGTTATAGAATTTTTAATAATGGTATAGGAACTTAAGGAATTCAAACTTACGACGAGACAAAGGATTAAGTTACCCAGTTATTTATGAAAAGTTTAGTTAAGTTTAGTCTAGCTGCACCCGTATTATTATTAAAAGCTCGGTAAGCAAGCGAAAAAGCTATCTGAAAGTAATAATTGAAATGTAGAGTGTTAAATGGTAGAGATAGTAGGAGTAGTATGTGATTTTAAATGTGATAAGGAGGCTAACTTGTTTATATGTTTGTTCTTATTTAGTTCAGGAAAACTTGTCACTGGCCATACTTTAAGAAATGTATCCTTTTTCTACAGAAAAACGCTGTTTTTCTGTTACAATATTAAAAAAAAATAAGAAATACTCAGATCGCGTTGTTTCATCCATTGCCTTGACTATACTCAATGTCACGTCATGTTTCAAATTTTGACTAATGGTTATTTCTTTCCCTAGTACCTATTTTAACTTTAGTCAAATTTAGCTATGGATGAAGCAACGGGGGCTTAGAGTTGACGATTAAGTACTTTTCGACATAATCGTACAAATAATGATAATAAAGCACTGTATAAATAAGTAAGCAAGTAAAACTATGTCGTCAAAGATATTAAAAGTAAGTAGTTTGAAATACTGGAAAAACACCGAAGTTAATAAAGAACATTGATATGAAATAAACATCGTCAAACCTTTGAAACAAACTTGTTATTACCATATTATCAAGTTTATTTATAGACTTTAATTTACATGAGCAGTTTCTAATTAATGGCAAACAAAATAAAACTTGATTCTATTTCGGTACATGGCATTCATTTGTTTTCGCGTTTCGTAAGTTATTCATATCCCGCGAGAAACAAAGATCTAAATGTTTTTTTAAATAGAATAATTCAAATGTAATGTCTGTTGGATAAAAAGAAAAAGCTTAATTATTGCAGCGGGAACGCAATAAATAATAAAATTAGGCGTATTCTCTTCAGTATACTTATATAGGAGGAGCTCGATGGCGCAGGTTGAAGTTAAGCAACTTTCGCAGTTGTCAGTAATTGGATGGGTGACCAAAAATCTTCTATCTCCAGTTCCTCCATGCTTCGGAAAGCACGTTAAGCTGTTGGTCCCGGCTGCATCTGCAATCGTTAGCACCCGCCAATCCGTACTGGGCCCGCGTGGTGGATCATGGCCCAATCTCCCTATTCCATCCATAGGGAAGGCCTGTGCCCCAGCAGTGGGGACATTAATAGGCTGATAATGATGATGATGTTTTCTGGGTTCGTTTTGTATTGAATATGGATTGTAAGTAATTAAAAAACTAAATTAAAATTAAATTATTATCTTTATAGCTATTAACGGGATTGTTACCATGTACCTTGTTTTTTATGAGTCTCATATATTTCGGCATTGTTGCAAGCGCAAGCTATAATGTTAATGACCATGAAATTTTAAAACAATATAAATTATAGGCCCGAGTGATGGGTCATGACCTTCCTATTCCATCCATAGGGAAGACCTGTACCCCAACAGTGGGGACATAAATAGGCTGATGATGATGATGATACTGATATAAAAGGCAACCATTACTGACTGTTCTATCAACGCACAGCTTAACCGCTGAACGGATCGAGCTGAAATTTGGCAAACATATAGATTATGATGCAGGCGTGCGCTAAGAAAAGATTTCCCAAAACTCACCCTCTAAAGGATAAAGCGTGTGTTCAAAGTTTGTATGGGTAACTAATATTTCCGCGCAGACGAAGTTGCGGGCATCCACTAGTAATAAATATTGTGAATGAACTAAAACAATTTTTCTCTAATATCTTTCCTAAAACAATGATAACAAGTTCAACCGAAGCTACAACTATAATCTGTTTATAAAACTTATTTGAAAAAATCCTCTTAAAATAGATAATAATCACAGAACACAGAAATAGGTGGGCCGGGCAGGCACGCCACAGTTATGTGTGAGCAAATGCTCATAACTTAACCAAAACTTGGTCCTGATTGCGTCGTTACTCTCGAGTTTGAGCACTGATTCGGTCGATTCTTTAATGTCGCGTCGTTTGATTGGCTATTATCTATAAGGTGGAAGTGTAGTGGAGACGAAGACATCGGTTCTAGACATGGGCGTTTTTGGTTTTGAACGCAAACGGATATTTATCGGATTTCAGATTTCAAAATCGATTTTAAAATCCGTTTTTAGATATCCGATTTCAGATGTGCCGAACTTAGCCAATTCACTAGTTTGTGTTATGATTTGGTTTTATTAGCTAACGACAATCACAAACAATTAATTGTAGGAAGCAAGGATACTCGTAGATTTTCGCGATTTTCCTTCATGCTTTAAATCTAGGCTTAGGACTAGCAGAAAAGTTATGTTTAGGGTTAAGAGTAAAACTTTTGCGGCGCATTTAAAAATCGGCTTTTATACAATGATTTCTTTTTACATATTTTTTTAGTATTTTTTTTTGTTTTTCTGTTTGTTTTTATTATTTTTCAAACCATTTACAAAATCAAACCTAATTACTTCAGGTTAGCGTCCAAAAATGTAAGGTGCTCGACTTTTGATTAAAAAAAAAAAACTGACATGTGCCTATTTCTACAATAATTGATTATGCATGATTGATTATGAGTTATGTTGCTCGAAATAAATGAATTTTATTTTTTTATTTATTTTTTGACGTGACAACGTCTTAAATTAGGTTGCGGCTGGGAGTCACTTATGAAAAAGTGTAACGCTCGGTAACGTTACGATGAGTCTCTCGTGTTAAGTTTAAGTTTACATGTACAATGTTTTAGTAAACAAAATATATTTCTATAGTTAAAAACCACACCAGGCTGGTGCACCACGCGCAGGTAATGTGTGACCCACGCGTGCCCCACCTGCGGGGCATGCTTCACCTACCACGCCGCGCTATACGACCACACCAGGCTGGTGCACCACGCGCAGGTAATGTGTGACCCACGCGTGCCCCACCTGCGGGGCATGCTTCACCTACCACGCCGCGCTATACAACCACACCAGGCTGGTGCACCACGCGCAGGTAATGTGACACCCACGCGTGCCCCACCTGCC